GAGGGGTGATGATTCAGAAGTTAAGAGCTCTTACTGATCAGTTCAGTTCCCAGCACTCACACTGGGCCTGTAACTCCAGCTCCAGGACCCACGCACACACACACACAGTGTAAATAAGAATAAAATAAAATCTTAAAAAATACATGTATGTTCACATTTCAGCCTCTTAGGGCCATCTTTTGCTCTCCTCATATACCAGCTGTTGGAAGAGTACTCAGCTCATCAAGGTTTTCTGATAGCTATCTTCCAACATTATATCTGGAATGAGATGAGCTTCCGTAGCCTCTTCTGCATTTGGCTGAAACAGTTTTGATACGTAAAACCACAAACTTATTCTCCAGAAGAAATCTGTTGTCAAAGATAATCTCCAAGGGGACTGACTGGTCTGGCCACCCATTCTCAAAGAGCTAATTAAAACAGCCAAACTTAAAATGGAAAGCAGGAAAAGGAGATTTACTCAATGTGGCTGTGTTGGGAAGAGGAACAAAGAGATTCAGCCCAGCCCCCATATCTGTCTTCAGAATCCTGGAATGAGATTCAAGTTTAAACAGAAAGCCAAGGATTTGCACATCTGTGCAGTAACAGTCAAGGTGTCTGCTCTTCACTCTCAACCTGGAAGGTGGTCTGTGGAGCTGTTGGGGGTGACAAATCCTTTCTTGTCTGGAGCCTTTTCCTTCTCCCAACATGAGATTCCCATTTCTTTGGGGTCCATTGTTTCAGCAGTCTGATAGTCAGATTGAAAGACACAAGTGTCCCTTTATTTATGCCAGGCCTGTTACCACATTGTCCTCAAACTCCCTGTGTAGCTAAAGATGACCTAGAATTCCTTATCCTCTTGCCTCACCTCTCAAGTGGTAGTGGTGGGATTATAGGTGTGGGTAACCATGCCTGACTCTTACCCTTTTTAAAAATAAGTATTGTTGCCATGGTTGGTGGTGTATACCTTTTTTTCTTTTTCTTTTTTTCTTTTTTTTTTTTTTTTTTTTTTACCGAGACAGGGTTTCTCTGTGTAGCTTGGAGCCCTTCCTGGAACTTGTTTTGTAGACCAAGCTGGTCTCAAACTCACAGAGATCCACCTGCCTCCGCCTCCCAAGTGCTGGGATTAAAGGCGTGCGTCACTACTGCCGGGCTTGGCGTACACCTTTAATTCCAGCACTCCAGAGACAGAGGCAGGAAGAACTGTGAGTTTGAGGCCAGCCTGGTCTACAGAACAGCCAGGGCTACACAGAGAAACCCTGTCTTGAAACACCCACACCAAAAAACAAAAAGTGATTTCATTTGTGTCCTTCTTTGTTCTATTACTATAAAAACCTCAGAAAACTTGCTTCCATGTTAGAACATGGAACTTGGTGTAGCCTAAATCCATGTATGTTCCTGATATGCTCTCTCATGTTTGACTCCAGAGTAAACCATTGAGGAACCAGCCTGCCTCCAGCTTAGGCTTAAAAGCCATTTTATAGTAAAGATAAACTAAGTTCATTCTTGTTTATGATTAAACCTCTGCTTCTCAAGGATTGAGCAGTGCCCTGTCTGTAACCTTAACTACAAATGGTTCTGTTCTGCATGTTCCAGGAGTGACAGTCATGTGTTTGTTTCAAAAAGTTGTAACATCTTGCAACCCTACCGATGACTACTTTATTATGCCCACCGTGCAACCTTGTCTTTGTTTCTGGAGGGACTAACTTGTTATACTTATGTTCTGCTCCTGTAACCCTGCCTGTTTTGCCCACCGAATCCCCCATTTGGGAAACCCCTACCCCTATAAAAGCCTTGTCTTCCTCACATCCAGTGCTGACCTCTCAAAACTCTCCTTAGGTGGAGGCAACCTGTGTACACAAGTAAAAAAGCTTGCTGTAATTAATTGCTTGCTTTAATTAACTTAGCCATGATGATTTGGGTCGGTGGTCTTTCTTCCTTTTTTTTTTTTTTTGTTGCTATCACAAATAAATCTGTTATTGTGAGTGGTCAGGGGACAGAAAGCTCCTGAGGAGTTCCCATAATCTTTTAGGGACTTCAATTCAGGCCAAACTGAGATTTGTAGCTTCATTGTGGAAAAGAACTGGCTAGTAGGAGCCTAATAAAGACATTTTTACTATAAACTTAAAAGTGAAGGTTAAGAGAAAGAGAGGCACTCAGAGTAAAAGCAAGTCATACTCAAGTGTGGATACATGCTTCCTGAAGGACCGTAGGGGAAAGGAAGATACCCAGTTATAGGTATGGCTTCTAAATGGAGAGGCAAGATTACATGGAGGGGTATACACAGCTAGTATACCATTTTCATGGCTTTCAAGTTATACCTCAAAAGGCTGTTAAGAAACCTTCCCTCCCAGTCCTCTTTTGATAAGTGAGATAAGTGAGATGGCCCCACAGATGCCTTGGGTTGAATTACAGTCCGATAAGCCACTAGGGTTGCACAATGAGTGTGGTAATTTCCTTCCCCTGTAAATACAGTTTCTGATGAGATTCCTAAGACATTTCAGACTTGCAGCAGGGGTAGGGGAAGAGTCTTGAGTGGTCAGTGATTCAGTTAGTGATTGTGCTGTGGAATTCTTGCTTCTCTGCCGGTAGGAAGCTTTAACTGGATTCTAGGGTGAGAGGCTCCCTTTCCTCTGCATGCCCTTAATTTCCCCTGCCTTTCTATCCTGCTTCATTATGAACATGAACATTTAAGTGTAGGTGTGTGTGTGTGTGTGTGTAGTTCATCTTTCGTTTCTCTAGGGTGCGTTTCTGATTGTGTAATTTTTACTTATGTTTGTGCCTGGCTGTTTTGTCAACTGCTGAAAGAGAGGTGTTAAAACCAACTAAGATTGTGTGTTTCGAGCTAGGACATAGCTCAGTGGTAGAGCCCATACTTAGTATATGCAAGGTCTTGGGCTCCTTGGTACTATAGGGGTTGGAGAAATTGTGCTTTTTCCCTCCTGCTGAGTGTTTTGAGCTATTTTATTTGGTGCATATATACTTTGTATTATGTTTCTTGATGAAATAACCTGTTAACTTTTATGAACTATCTGGTATCTCTTATCAGTAGATCTCCATATTTTAAAGTGTACTTTATCTGATAGTAATATAGCAACCACAAGTCACGTTTCCTATGACTAGTGATTTTATGGCATATCTTTCCCCAAATCATTTCACACTTTCCATGTTCTTAAATATAAAACTTTTATATAAGTGTAGTATATGTGGGGCGTTTACCCATCACCCCCACAGCTTCCCAGAGTTTTCTTGAGTGCGAGCAGCAGGAAATATTAGATAGAAGGATTTATAGCGGAGAATCTTGTGGAGATAAACAGATAGAAAATAAAGGATAGCCTCGAGAGGGCCTGGAACCTATTCCAACGGGGCCGGACTGTCTCTGGTCCAGGGTTTTTATAGAGACGCCAAGGGGTGGAGCAAAAGACCTCCTCCCCCAGCACAGCCAAGTGCAGACCATCTCAGACACCTGCACTCAGGCCCGTGGTCCTGATCATCCTCTATTCGGACCTGCTGGGTAAAGCCACGAGGAACCCCAGAACGGGCTCCCACAAGTATATATATTTATATATAAGTGTAGTAGATATATATATATTACACTTAATAGTTAAAGTGTATTTCTAAGTGGAATATATAGGTTGAATTTATATATTAATATGTATTTCTACACTTAAATAGTTACAATGCAACTCTTTGCATATATATGCATATATATATATATATATATATATATAGAGAGAGAGAGAGAGAGAGAGAGAGAGAGAGAGTAAAAGGGTCTCACTGTGTAGCACTGGCCACATAGAGAACTCTCTTTGTAGACCAGGCTGACTTGAACTCATAGAGATCTCCCTGTTCAAGTGCTAGTGTATCATGTCCTACCTATCAGGATTGCTTTTCTCTTAAATAGGTACTTTTATTTAAAAGTTAGATGTGTGATCCTAGGATAGTCATACACACCTTTAATTGCAATGTGAGTTAGCCATAGTTTTTGGGTTAGACAAGACTATTTTGTTATATTTGATAGAAGACAAGAGTAAATGCTTTTTTGGGGCTGGTGGTGGTGGTGGTTTGAGACAGGGTTTCTCTGTGTAGCTTTGGAGCCTGTCCTGGAACTTGCTCTGTAGACCAGGCTGGCCTCAAACTCAAAGAGATTCTCTTGTCTCTGCCTCCCAAGTGCTGGGATTAAAGGCATGTGCCACTACCGCCCCGCGAATAAATGCATATATATATATTATATATAAATACCTATATATAATATATACACATTTACGTTGGGTGTCACATGAATTAGTGTTTCTATAGCTGTGATAAAACACCATGACCACGAGCAACTTGGGGAGGAAAGGGTTTATTTTATCTCACATATCACGATCACAGTCCATCCTTGAAGGAACTTGGGCCAGGAACTCATGAGAGGCCATGGAGGAGTGCTTCTTACTGGCTTGCTTCTCATGGCTTGCTTCTCATGGCTTGCTCAGCTTGCTTTCTTGAAAAGAGCACTCAGAACTACCAGCTCAGGGGTGGCATTGCCACAGTGAGCTGGGCCCTCCCACATCAATCATTACTCAAGAGAATGTGCTAAGAAAATGTGCCATGGGCTTGTCCACAGGCCAGTTTGGTGGGAACATTTTCACAGTTAAGAGTCCTGATATTTTGCCTGCGTGGATGTGTGTACACCTTATGTATACTGTGCCTATAGAGGCCAGTAGAGGATGTTGGGTACTCAGGAAGTGGGTACTCAGGAAGTGTTGTTATGGATGGTTGTGAGCCACGGTGTGGATGCTGGGAACTGAATCCAATTCCTTTTCATGAGCAAGACTTGTTCTTCACCACTGAGCCATCTCATTAGCCCCAAAATCTTTTTTTTCTAAATAGCTTTATACTACCTCTAAAATACTGTTCTACATCTAATTGGCAAATCAGAGGTTTAATTAAATAAACTAGGATGTTAGGCTTATGTTCAAGTGAAGTTATATTCATTTTCATATTTGTGTTTTCTAATTTCTTTTTTCTTTTTCTTTTTTTAGTGAAAATGTGCTGTTTGGAATGGGAAATCCTCTTCTTGACATTTCTGCTGTAGTAGACAAAGATTTCCTTGATAAGTAAGTATGAACTACTTCATGTATATAGCATCTTAACATCCCTGAAGAGAGAACTGAGAACTGACTTTTTTTTTTTTTTTTTTTTTTTTTTTTTTTTTTTTCGAGACAAGCTCTGTGTAGCTTTGCACCTTTCCTGGAACTCACTTGGTATCCCAGGCTGGCCTCGAACTCACAGAGATCTGCCTGGCTCTGCCTCCCGAGTGCTGGGATTAAAGGCATGCGCCACCACCGCCCGGCGAGAACTGACTTAAACTGTGGAATTGGGCTGGTAGGTTGGGTGCAGTGGTTAAGATACTCCCTGCCCAGGCTGACAACCCAAGTTTGATCCCAGGCACCTACTTGGTGGAAGGAGAAAACTAATTCCTGTAAATTGTACTCTGACCTCCACACACGCATGCATGGCGTGTGCACTTGCACACGCATGCACACATAACACACACAGAATCAAGAAATGAACAGATAAATGCAAAAAGACTACCAATAACAAAAACTCTTAGAATAGAATTTACCATATACACCTTTAGTTGGAGGAAAACTCAGGAAATTGAAATATATTAGTTCACTGTCATTTGAGTAATTCACAGTTCACCACAGGTTTTTTTTTGTGTGTGTCGGGGGAGGGGAGATGGGGAGGATATATTTTGTTCATTCCTAATACTTTTTTCAGTTAAAATTTATCCTATAGTAGGTATGGTGGTAATTGTAATTCCAGTATTCAGAAGACAGAGTCAGGAGGACCATTCCTGTTTGAGACAAACACAATAGGTTTGAGATTAGCCTGAGTTATGTGAGACAATGTCTGAAAACAAACAAAAAGAAGCCACACAAACTGGTGCTGATACAGCTGCATTTCCACATGCTGGAGACTAAGACTGAGACCTTACTTCACACTCTATACAAAAGTAACTCAATAGGGAACAAAACCCTAAACTTAAGAACTAAAGCTATAAACATCTTAGAAACAGGAGTAAGTCTTTGTCTTTGATTTAGCCCCAGATTATTAAATTCAGTATTAGTAAAAGAACAAGCAATACGAGAAAAAGTAAGATGGACCTTATGAAAAATAGGAAACTTTTCAACATCAGAGGACACTATCCAGAAATTGAGATCTGGGTTGTAGTTGGATGGTAGAGTGCTTGCCTAGCATGTATAAGGCTCTGGGTTCAGTACCAGCACACACACACACACACACACACACACACACACACACACACACACACACACACAAGCCAACCCACAGGATAGGAGCAATTCTTATAAGGGTCTGGCATCTGGTATTTAGAGCAGTGGTTCTCAACCCTCTAAAAGGCTGCAACCTTTTAATACAATTTCTCAGGTTGTGATGACCCCCAACCACATAATGATTTCATTGCTATGTTATAACTGTAATTTTGCTACTGTTATGAATCATAATGTAAATATTTGATACACAGGATATCTGATAGGAGACCCCCAAATGGGTTGAAACCCATAGGTTGTGAACCACAGATTTGATTAAAAGGTTTTATAGCTAAAAAGCAAAACCAGGGTCAGTAGATAGAATATCAGGTAATGGCATTTGTCACCAAGCCTGACGTCATGAGTTCAGTCCCTGGACCCTAGATGATAAAAGGAAACTCTTCCAATTTGTCTTCAGAACTGTCTCTGTCTCTGTCTGTCTCTGATGGAGACACTTCCTTAAGAGAGGCCCCTCACCCTGGGTGACTCAAGTTGTGTCAAGTTGACGGACACTAGCCAGCATATTGCTCTATTCCTTTTCATCCAGATATAAATAGAATGTAGGTTAGGAAGATGTGTAACTGCTTCAAAACTTGTTCATTTTAGTTTTAATTAGTGTATGAATTTGCATTGATCTACTTTTTGAAAGAAAAGCTTGATTTTCTTCTTGACTAGGTTTTCAAAACATTTCAAGTGTCAAAATCTATTTTGTGTGTATGTATGTGTGGAAGGCCAGAGTTCATGTTGGGTATCTTCTCTATTGCTCTCCACTTATGTTTTGAAACGGGCTTTCACTGAACTTGGCACTTCATTTTATGTAGGTGTGTTGGCCAGTAAGTCCCTAGAGCCCACCCCTCTCCCTCCCTATGCTGTCGTTACAGATGTGCGTGCGCCTTTGTGCTTGGCTTCTTTGTGGGTGCTGGGCGTCTGAATTCAGGTGTATTCACTGAGCCATCTTCCTAAGCCCACTACTTCAGTTCTTGAATTGGAAAGTTGCTAGATTGCCTAGAGTTGATCTGTTTTCAGAATATAATCAGCATTGTTGTAGTTTAGAAACATGAATAGGGAAAAATGGAATATTTACATACTTACCATACAATTTTCTGAAATATCCTCAGTTTATTTTCTTACTATAAATGTAGTTTTTCTCTGAACTACAGAGAACAAAATAAGGATCTTTAATTGAAAATAAAAACAGAATTAAGTTAATTATGTTAGATGTATCCAATTTGGCAAAATATCAGAACTGAAAACTAACAGGCTTATTTGTGATAAGAATCATGCTACCAGAAAGATCTTCTGTGGCATACAGAAGAGACAGTGTGGGTATTGGGAAATACGGAATATATACACACCTGCAGATGAGCCATGGTCTACTACGGAGAGTAAGGAAGAGGATGGGAAGGGAAGGATTATACAAGGTCAGTTTAGAAGATAAACGTCACAGAGGAGGAAGGGGAGAGTTAATGGCATGGTGATTGGAAGAAAGTGACATCATTAGAAGTGAAAATACCCTGTCTTAGACTAGTTGAAGAAATGTATATTTTCTCAGAGCTCTAAACCTTTTTGACTGGGAAGTTGGTAGGCAGAGAAAGCATACATGAAATATTGTGTTTAATTCTAACGTTGATTGTAAATTTTACACAATCAATACAAATTATTTATAAATGAATAATTCTCATAAATAAACATACATTATAAATGGATATATGGTAGGTTTGAGTGTGACAGAAATCATGAATGGCAAGTGAGATTGTATACATATAGTTGTTTGGTTCTAAGACTGCCAGTATAAGTCTCACACACACTAGATAAAGGCTCTATCATTAAGGTGTATCTCCAGACCCTGCCCTGTCTTGTATTGTCTTTATTTCTTTCTGTCTTTCTTTCTGATAGAGTCTTGGTATATAGTCCTGGCTGTCCTGCAGTCTGTTATATTGACTAGATTGACCTTGAGCTTGTGGTGATATAGCTTTTGTAATGCTTGGATTTTTGTTGTAACTCTACCCTTCTCCCTGGCTCAGTTAATTGTTTTCTTTTCTAAGGCAGGGGCTTAGCTCTGCCCCAGAGTGAAGTAGAAATTGCTCCATAGCCCAGGCTGACTTCAAACTTGCTTCATAGTACAGGTTGACCTCAAACTCCTGGTGTCTTCCTACATCAACCTCCTGAGTACTGTGGTTACAGACGCAGACCACCATGTTTGGTTTGTTCAGTGCTAGGAATCAAACCAAGGTCTTTGCACATGTTATCAACTAAGCCACACCCCCAGATGGCAGCGTAGGTTTTATTACAAAATTGTAGTTTTTCTCTTCATGGGTGTACATTTTCTGTGAGGTTTATTCTAGTAGTACTGATTGTAGTCACAAAAGAATCCCTGAAGTCCTAAAAGATCAAAGTTCTTTCTTGAGACTTGACTTCTCTCATATAGCCTTGACTGGCCTGGAATTCACTGTGTAGACCAGGCTGGTCTCCACCTCATAGAAATCTGTCTGCCTGCCTCTGCCTCCTGAGTGGTGGGATCAAAGGTGAGCGACACCATGTTTAGTGATCAAAGTTCTTAGGCTACAATCCTGAAGTCTAAAAGTTTACCAAAGCACAGTCCTAAAAGATTGAAATCTCAGGGTTTTAAATCTGGAGAGCACGCTGAACAATTGAAAGACACTTGCTGATGCAGAGACGTCTCCAGTATTACAAAACATCACAGGGTAAAACTATTAGCGACTGGACCATTGAGATAATAGCCTTTAGTTTTTGCACTGATGGACATTGAACCTAGAGCCTCACACATGGCAGGCAAGTGCTCTACCACTGAGCCCTGATTTAAAAAACAAAACAAAACAAAACAAAAAAAGAAACAACCCCTCAGGAGGCAGGGACAGGTGGATCTCTGAATTTTGGGCTAGCCTGGTCTACAGAGTTCCATGCCGGCTACACAGAGAAACCCTGTCTCAAAGACATAAAATAAAGTAAAGAGGCTGTTTATTTATTGTGTGTTTCTCTGCTTGCACATGCCATGGAATGTGATGGAGGCCAGAGGACAACTTGCAGAGTGGGTTCTGTTTCTACCCCGTGTGTCTTTGGGATTGATCAAGTGTGTGGTTTCTTGGCAAATGCTCTCATCCACCGAGCCATGTGCCATCCTTTCCTCAAACTCTTATGTTCCTACTGCCTCTGTCGGGAAAACCAGGTGTTTTGCCTTGTCTAATGGATGTCAATTTCAAAACTACCTCTGCGATTTGATTTTTAAAATGTGTGACGTTCTTGTTCCAGGTGGATCTGGAAATGGTAGAAGGTATTTGCACATTTATATATTCATGGCTTTCCAGAAGAGTCAAAACACTTTGTAAATTTTCATTTGAAGATTTAGTAAACTTAGTGAAATTTTGAAAATGGTCATCAGTATGTGAAAAGAATCTATTTTCAATAAAAGGAAAAATATGAAAAAAGAAAGAAAATGGGAGTTTAATTGGTCATTTCCCTCTCCGCTTGACAGCTCATCTTTCTGTTTTTCTCCGCCTTCTAATTATCTGCCTTTCCTTCCTTGGCATTTCCTTCTGGTTTAGCTTTACGAGGAGCAGGTGGTGTTTTATTCACCATGCTCTCCACCCACTCCCTCAGGAAGTGCCTCTCCACGGTGTGCACAATGCACGGGTCTTAGACATATTTTGCTGATAGTCTGAAGCTTACTCACTTTGCAGGGAATGTAGGAATATGTGTTTGGTCTTTTATCAGAGATGGAGGTAAAGCTGAGCAGGACCAAGCAGGCACTGACTTGAGTGAGC